ATCCCATACTTAATACTTCGTGTTTTCACTCTCGCGTGGTCATGTGTGACGTCACGAGCTGCGACGCCATTTTCGCTTCCTCGTCTCGTATACACGGTTTTGTCGTTGCTTTGAAATTTTTCATGCAGCAAGGGCGGAATGTCATTGTTGTTTCGTCCATGTGTTGTTTCATGTATTGAAATTGTTATCTTTGATAATGGCTTATGTAAGCCGAAAGCTTAGATTGGATTTAAACATGTATCAATATGGTGTTTTTCTTTCGTGTTTTAATGTTAATGTGATTAAGCTTATCAGACAATATGAAAGGAACTTAAAATAAAATAAACAAACAAAACTTGTCTATATTATTTAATGAAACATGCATTAATATATATATATATATATATATATATATATATATATATATATATTTTTTTTTTAAGAGACTGATGAAAGAACTGGAAAGGATCATTCTAAAAATAAATTGATATACGTGTCTATATTATTCACTGAAACATGTTTGGTTGAAGATATGCTACCTAAATATACATATATACAGGAAAAAATCCGACATATTTGTAATTTATTTGCTTAAATGTTATTTTTAAATGAGTACTTATATTTGAGTAGATGCTATGTTTTTATTTATTTATTAAACAGTATATTTATTTATATTTTTCTAAAAAGATTTTCGAATATTCAAGCCGGTAGATGCAGATAAATGAATATACGGTTTAATACATAAAAATTGAGCTTTTGCTCAAATATGAGTAACCATTTAAAAATAATTATAATATATATATATATATATATATATATATATATATATATATATATATATATATATATATATATGTATGTATTTTTATTATAATTTTATCATATAGACAAAAACATTTTAACCACTACAAAGATACAACTTGGTTTCAGTGCATTTCAACTGCACTTCGGCGGGTGGGAGTCGAAAATGGTTAGGAATAATCCTGCTTGTAGGCCACCGGTATGTGAAATGTGACTTCCTTTTTTCCATTTGTTTGAGAAGAAAAATATTCATAAAAAATCGCTCTACTATCGGTATCGAGCCCTCTTTTGGATTAATGCTGTGAACGTTGGAATGTATATATTACTTTCGTTCTCATCACATTAGATACATATATATATATATATATATATATATATATATGTGTGTGTGTGTGTGTGTGTGTGTGTGTGTGTGTGTGTGTGTGTGTGTGTGTGTGTGTGTGTGTGTGTATATTACGAGTGTAGCAGCAACATGCTGAACGTGTTGAAGTGCATATAACAATCATTTAATATTTGCATGCTTCCAATTTCTGATTAGCTCCCTTATAATGGACGCTTTGTTTGTAAAATATTCCATAGCTACGACGGATAAATTTAAAATTCTAAAATAATTAGAACTGAGCATTAACGTGCGTTTTTGTTTTTCTAATCACCATCACAATGTCTTTGTAATTCACCCTTTAGGATGATCTTGGAAGAGATAGAAAAGTATTTTGGTAGGAAAAATTATGGCACCTTTCTTGATTAATTATATCTTAACATCAAGTAATTGATGAGAGAACTGAAGAGGATCATTATAAAGATAAATAGACATAATATATCTATATTATTCAATAAAACATGTTTGGATGAAGATGGCTTTAGCGCAGGAATCTCTGAGTTAAATAACAAGGTAGACTGGGTTCTTTAGCCTTAATTGGCAACCAGTTTAGGTAAAAGCCAAATCTGAATTTTGAATTTAAAGTCGGCGTGGGATTGCTTTGAGGCCTCGTAGCACAATGCTCGTCAAATCTCTGCAATCAGTTCCACTAAAAAGTGGCTGCTGCTTCGCAAGCTTTTTTTTTCTTTTTCTTTTTTTTTTTGTAATCAGTTTACATGTTTTTAGTGGTTAACATAAAACGCCGTCTTCATTTAAAAGATTCTATTGCGACAAAGAAGGTGTTTCTTCAATTGTTGCCACTCCTGCTGCCATGGAAACAAATTCCAAGCCATGACATCAGCACCAAAAACAAATATAACGAATTGAAAGTCGGTATTTTCGTGGTAATATCCCTCGATCTCAGTTATACAAGACGCACTTTAATTTAATGAAATCTGTTTCCAGTAGAACTTCACCATTACTCATTATGTGATCTCCACTGCCCCTCACATCAGCGTTCACGAAAATTCATGACCCTATCCAACGACTGCGAAACTGTGTGTCCTTTGACCCTCCGGATATTATTTTGCTAGTAATCTTATTTTCACCGGAATTAGATTGGGTAGCCGAGACAAAGGCAGATAAAATAAATGGGACGTGAATGTAAATAAATTGAATATATAAAGGTCAAAGTTGTATGTATTTCCATTCAAAACCCCAAAAATTAATTAAATATATATAAAGTTGGTCGATTACCCGTGCGCATGCGTGAAAAGATTGCGTAAAGCAGTGACAATTAAATGGACTCTTATGATTCATAACAACCAACTTTGCCGTTCTCGCGTAAAGGGAGATAACCACTTTTCATATTCAGCCTTAAAAACCTTTCCTTTTTTTATTTTTTTTTCATGGATTTATATTAAATCTTTGGGTTACGACCATATCACGATGAATCACCGGTTCGAAGTTAAGCAAGCGATCAACAGACTGTACATCATCACTCAAAAATCAGCCACCATCGTAACAGCCCAGTGTATACATCCAACCTAGTATATACTAGGTTATTCGAGGCTGTTTTTGGCTTACAGCTATATCACGTTAAAAAATGCTTTTCGCACGATGACCTCAGTTAAGCAATGTCGAGCCTGTTCAGTACCTAGATGGGTGACTGCTTTGGAATAACAGCTGCTGTAAGCTTGGTTGCACGGGTGGTTTAATGAATAACGGCTGGGAATTTTTATTCGGAAAGCTGAGTTCAAATTCCAGTTGGGTCCGTTATATTCCCTTCACAAATACACTTCGCAAAGGTATGAATCTAACTCTTCTCTCCCAGCTATGGGTGAATTAATAAGACGCTTATTACTAAATCATTATTAACTCTAAAACATCTTACAATCTAAAAATCTTTTCTGGCTTTAAATAACCTGTCAAAAGTTGATAAGCCGTAGAAAATGAATCAATGAATCAATATTAAATGTTAAAAGACAGAAAAACAGAGATAGTCCGCGGTGTGAACTAGGTATCAGTGTCGCAAAAAATAAAAAAATAATTATCGGTATATATATATATATATATATATATATATATATATATATATATATATATATATACAGTAATTTAAGTAAATGCTCTGTTTATAATAAACAGTATTAATAACATTTACCGGCCTGAATGTCCGGTTCCGTATAGGATACAGGTTCAATTCCTGGCGGAGGACGAATATTTTCTATGAAAATTTCTCGGATATTCAGACCGGTAAATGTTGTTTAATACTGTTTATTATAAACAGAGGATTTACTTAAATATTTGTATCTATAAAAAGAATGCATAAACATAAAAATGTCTTAAAATAATTGTCGGACTTTGTCTATTTCAATGTGATGTCATTTGTTTACATTTGGATACGCTTTGAGCAGATATGAATGTACGCGAGAGATTAATGGAAGATTGTAGTTTAAAAGCAGTAAAATCAACCTTGTTAACCGAACAACCCTCTGTGGCTCGGTTATATGACGGTTCCGTATAGGATACAGGTTCGATTACTGTCGGATGAGACAAATATCTTCTATGAAAATTTCTCCGACATTCAGACCGGTAAATGTTATTAATTTATTTATTTATAATAAACAGTATTAATAACATTTAATACCGTTTATTATAAACAGAGCATTTACTTAAATATTTGTATCTATAAAAAGAATGTATAAACATAAAAATTTCTTAATATATATAGAGAGAGATGTATATATACATATGTATGTATATTCTTTCACTCTCAGCAACCCCTAGTATCTTAGTGACATTATTACCTTGCTTGGGATGAAATGATTAAAAGCAAATGATAGAAGAAAGCTAAAAAAACACAGGTATAGTTCTACAGACAAAGCTGAGAATACAAAATAAGTAGGCAAAGAAGTTTTAAAACAAAAAAGCGCTACAAGAAAGTTTATTTTGTTATTCGGTTGAGTTAGTTCGTACATTCCTCCAAGTCAAGTTCCCACCGATGACAGTCAGGCAAATTCGCCAAGCCCCATCTGAAGGCTATGGTAGTGAGAGATAGCCCATTCCGAACCAATCGCCATGTAAGCGAAAACTCAGGGTTGCTGAGGTGATCCGCCGCTTGTGCCCAAGGCTAAAAAGAACTCAACTTGGCCGCCAACTAGGCAGGCCTTCGACAAGCGGATTTGCACCCCCAGAGAGGATCCTTCGCGACTCCTTCCACTAATTCCCGATACAAGAGTCCCCCTTTTTTTCTTTTCAAAAAGTCCTGGGGCGACGGAAAATTGGAGACGAGGGCAGGCATAGGATAATGCTGGAAGCCCTTAGTTCGAAGCCTAAACGTGGGCGGCGTAAGCAAGATGACCCTTTCATGCGTCCCTGAGATTACGCATCGTCTCGTGTACTACCTACGCGACAAGGCAGATCTTTTTCAAGGAGGGGCACTGTCTGCCTCGCTTAGGGAGGTGCGTATAAATGGTGGCCTAAAACATGCCGGTTCCAATTCAACTAGCCAGGAGGCCGCATCTGGTTGGTTGTTCTTTTATCTCGGTCGACGAAGAAAATTGCAATGTTTTGTTCTAGTTACCTGGAATATACGAACCCTACTGGACTGTCCCGATCATCCGATCTTAGTAGACCACACCGAAGAACTGCGCTGATCGCCTCTGAACTGAAGCACTACAATGTAGATATCGCTGTACTCAGCGAAACAAGATTCCCCGATGAAGGTTCTCTAACCGAGGAGGGTGAGGGATAGACATAATTCTGGAAAGTCAGAGAAAGTCGAGTCCTTGGAGTTGGACTCGCTGGTCACTCAACGATTCTAAGGAACCTCCCTTCTGTACCAACTGGACACAGCGAAAGATTAATGACCCTCAGAATTGCTCTCTCCAATAATGTCTACACAAACATTTTCATTGTGTATGCCTCGACTCTGGATGCCGACGAAGAGATAAAGGATGCCGATGAAGAAATAAAGGATGCCGATGAAGAGATAAAGAATGCCGACAAAGAGATAAAGGATGCCGATGAAGAGACAAAGGATGCCGATGAAGAGATAAAGGATGCCGATGAAGAGATAAAGAATGCCGACGAAAAGATAAAGGATAAAGAAAAAAAGGATGCCGATGAAGAGATAAAGGATGCCGATGAAGAGATAAAGAATGCCGATGATGCCGATGAAGAAAAAAGGATGCCGATGAAGAGATAAAGGATGCCGACGAAGAGATAAAGGATGCCGACGAAGATAAAGGATGCCGATGAAGAAATAAAAGGATGCCGATGGAGATGATGAAGAGATAAAGGATGCCGAAGAAAAGATATGAAGAGAAAAGAATGCCGACGAAGAGATAAAGGATGCGAAAGAAATAAAGGATGCCGACGAAGAGATAAAGGATGCCGATGAAGAAATAAAGGAAAAGAGATAAAGGATGCCGATGAAGAGATAAAGGATGCCGATGAAGAGATAAAGATGCCGACGAAGAAATAAAGGATGCCGACGAAGAAATAAAGGATGCCGACGAAGAAATAAAGGATGCCGATGAAGAAATAAAGGATGCCGATGAAAGATAAAGGATGCCGATGAAGAGAAAAAAAGGATGCCGACGAAGAAATAAAGATGCCGACAAAAATAAAGGATGCCGATGAAGAAATAAAGGATGCCGATGAAGAAATAAAGGATGCCGACCGAAAGAAATAAAGGATGCCGACGAAGAGATGCCGAAAGAGGATGCCGATGAAGAAATAAAGAATAAAGGATGCCGATGAAGGATGCCGATGAAGAAATAAAGGATGCCGACGAAGAGATAAAGGATGCCGATGAAGAAATAAAGGATGCCGATGAAGAGATAAAGGATGCCGACGAAGAGATAAAGGATGCCGATGAAGAGATAAAGGATGCCGATGAAGAAATAAAGGATGCCGATGAAGAGATAAAGGATGCCGATGAAGAGAATGCCGATGAAAAATAAAGGATGCCGATGAAAGAATGCCGACGAAGAAATAAGATGCCGATGAAGAGATAAAGGATGCCGATGAAGAAATAAAGGATGCCGACGAAGAGATAAAGGATGCCGACGAAGAAATAAAGGATGCCGACGAAGAGATAAAGGATGCCGATGAAGAGATAAAGGATGCCGATGAAGAAAAAGGATGCCGAAAGAATGCCGACGAAGAAGAAATAAAGGATGCCGACGAAGAAATAAAGGATGCCGATGAAGAAAAAGGATAAATAAAGGATGCCGATGAAGAAATAAAGGATGCCGATGAAGAGAGATAAAGGATGCCGATGAAGAAATAAAGGATGCCGACGAAGAGATAAAGAATGCCGACGAAGAAATAAAGGATGCCGATGAAGAAATAAAGGATAAAGAATGCCGATGAAGAAATAAAGGATGCCGATGAAGCCGATAAAGGATGCCGATGAAGAGATAAAGGATGCCGATGAAGAAATAAATGCCGAAAGGGATGCCGACGAAGAGATAAAGATAAAGAATAAAGAATGCCGACGAAGAAATAAAGGATGCCGACGAAGAGATAAAGGATGCCGATGAAGAGACAAAGGATGCCGATGAAGAAATAAAGGATGCCGACGAAGAGATAAAGAATGCCGACGAAGAAATAAAGGATGCCGATGAAGAAAAAAGGATGCCGATGATGAAGAGAAAAGGATGCCGATGAAGAGACAAAGGATGCCGATGAAGAAATAAAGGAAGCCGAAAGGATGAAGAGAAGAAATAAAGGATGCCGACGAAGAAATAAAGGATGCCGATGAAGAGATAAAGGATGCCGATGAAGAAATAAAGGATGCCGACGAAGAAATAAAGAATGCCGATGAAGAAATAAAGGATGCCGATGAAGAGATAAAGGATGCCGATGAAGAGATAAAGGATGCCGATGAAGAAATAAAAGGATGCCGACGAAGAAATAAAGGATGCCGACGAAGAGATAAAGAATGCCGAAAGAAATGCCGATGAAGAGATAAATGCCGATGAAAGAATGCCGATGAAGAAATAAAAAGGATGCCGATGAAGAGATAAAGGATGCCGATGAAGAGACAAGGATGCCGATGAAGAAATAAAGGATGCCGATGAAGAAATAAAGAATGCCGACGAAAAAAATAAAGGATGCCGACGAAGAGATAAAGGATGCCGATGAAGAAATAAAAGGATGCCGATGAAGAGATAAAGGATGCCGATGAAGAGGATGCCGAAAGAAATGCCGATGAAGAAATAAAGGATGCCGATGAAGAGACAAAGGATGCCGATGAAGAAATAAAGGATGCCGACGAAGAGATAAAGAATGCCGACGAAGAAGTGAAAGGATGCCGACGAAGAGATAAAGGATGCCGACGAAGAAATAAAGGATGCCGATGAAGAAATAAAGAATGCCGACGAAGAGGATGCCGATAAAGGATGCCGATGAAGAAATAAAGGATGCCGATGAAGAGATAAAGGATGCCGATGAAGAGACAAAGGATGCCGATGAAGAAATAAAGGATGCCGACGAAGAGATAAAGAATGCCGACGAAGAAATGCCGAAAGGATGCCGATGAAGAGGATGCCGATGAAAGGGATGCCGATGAAGAAATAAAGGATGCCGATGAAGAGATAAAGGATGCAAGAAATAAAGGATGCCGATGAAGAAAAATGCCGATGAAGAGACAAAGGATGCCGATAAAGGATGCCGACGAAGAGATAAAGAATGCCGACGAAGAAATAAAGGATGCCGACGAAGAGATAAAAAAAAGATGCCGATGAAGAAGAGAGGATAAAGGATGCCGATGAAGAAATAAAGGATGCCGACGAAGAGATAAAGGATGCCGATGAAGAAATAAAGGATGCCGATGAAGAGATAAAGGATGCCGATGAAGAGAAAAAGGATGCCGATGAAGAAATAAAGGATGCCGACGAAGAAATAAAGAATGCCGACGAAGAAATAAAAGATGCCCGAAAGAGATAAAGCCCGATGAAGAAATAAAGGATGCCGACGAAGAGATAAAGGATGCCGATGAAGAGATAAAGGATGCCGATGAAGAAATAAAGAATGCCGACGAAGAGATAAAGGATGCCGATGAAGAAATAAAGAATGCCGACGAAGAGATAAAGGATGCCGATGAAGAAATAAAGAATGCCGACGAAGAAATAAAGAATGCCGACGAAGAAATAAAGGATGCCGATGAAGAGATAAAGGATGCCGATGAAGAGACAAAGGATGCCGATGAAGAGATAAAGGATGCCGACGAAGAGATAAAGAATGCCGACGAAGAAATAAAGGATGCAGACGAAGAGATAAAGGATGCCGATGAAGAAATAAAGGATGCCGATGAAGAGATAAAGGATGCCGATGAAGAGATAAAGGATGCCGATGAAGAAATAAAGGATGCCGATGAAGAGACAAAGGATGCCGATGAAGAGATAAAGGATGCCGATGAAGAGATAAAGGATGCCGATGAAGAGATAAAGAATGCCGACGAAGAAATAAAGGATGCCGACGAAGAGATAAAGAATGCCGACGAAGAAATAAAGGATGCCGACGAAGAGATAAAGGATGCCGATGAAGAGATAAAGGATGCCGATGAAGAAATAAAGAATGCCGACGAAGAGATAAAGGATGCCGATGAAGAGACAAAGGATGCCGATGAAGAGATAAAGGATGCCGACGAAGAGATAAAGGATGCCGACGAAGAGATAAAGGATGCCGATGAAAGAAATAAAGGATGCCGAAAAAGATAAAGATGCCGATGAAGAAATAAAGGATGCCGATGAAGAGATAAAGGATGCCGATGAAGAAACAAGAATGCCGACGAAGAGATAAAGCCGATGAAGAAATAAAGGATGCCGATGAAGAGATAAAGGATGCCGATAAAGGATGCCGACGAAGAGATAAAGAACGAAGAGATAAAGGATGCCGATGAAGAGGTAAAGGATGCCGATGAAGAAATAAAGGATGCCGATGAAGAGATAAAGGATGCCGATGAAGAGACAAAGGATGCCGATGAAGAAATAAAGGATGCCGACGAAGAGATAAAGAATGCCGACGAAGAAATAAAGGATGCCGATGAAGAGATAAAGGATGCCGATGAAGAAATAAAGGATGCCGATGAAGAGATAAAGGATGCCGATGAAGAGATAAAGGATGCCGATGAAGAAATAAAGGATGCCGACGAAGAGATAAAGGATGCCGACGAAGAGATAAAGAATGCCGAGGAAGAGATAAAGGATGCCGATGAAGAGATAAAGAATGCCGATGAAGAAATAAAGAATGCCGACGAAGAGATAAAGGATGCCGATGAAGAAAAAGGATGCCGAAAGAAATAAAGATGCCGATGAAGAGATAAAGGATGCCGATGAAGAGGATGCCGATGAAGAGATAAAGGATGCCGATGAAGAAATAAAGGATGCCGATGAAGAGATAAAGGATGCCGATGAAGAAATAAAGGATGCCGACGAAGAGATAAAGAATGCCGACGAAGAAATAAAGGATGCCGACGAAGAGATAAAGGATGCCGATGAAGAGATAAAGGATGCCGATGAAGAAATAAAGAATGCCGACGAAGAGATAAAGGATGCCGATGAAGAAATAAAGGATGCCGATGAAGAGATAAAGGATGCCGATGAAGAGACAAAGGATGCCGATGAAGAAATAAAGGATGCCGACGAAGAGATAAAGAATGCCGACGAAGAAATAAAGGATGCCGATGAAGAGATAAAGGATGCCGATGAAGAAATAAAGAATGCCGACGAAGAGATAAAGGATGCCTATGAAGAAATAAAGAATGCCGATGAAAATAAAGATAAAGATAAAGCCGATGAAGAAATAAAGGATGCCGGTGAAGAGATAAAGATAAAGGATGCCGATGAAGAAATAAAGGATGCCGACGAAGAGATAAAGGATGCCGATGAAGAAATACAGGATGCCGATGAAGAGATAAAGAATGCCGACGAAAAGATAAAGGATGCCGATGAAGAAAAAAAGGATGCCGATGAAGAGATAAAGGATGCCGATGAAGAAATAAAGAATGCCGACGAAGAGATAAAGGATGCCGATGAAGAAATAAAGGATGCCGATGAAGAGATAAAGAATGCCGACGAAGAGATAAAGGATGCCGATGAAGAAATAAAGGATGCCGACGAAGAGATAAAGGATGCTGATGAAGAGATAAAGGATGCCGACGAAGAGATAAAGAATGCCGACGAAGAGATAAAGGATGCCGATGAAGAAATAAAGGATGCCGACGAAGAGATAAAGGATGCCGACGAAAAGATAAAGGATGCCGATGAAGAAATAAAGGATGCCGACGAAGAGATAAAGGATGCCGATGAAGAAATAAAGGATGCCGATGAAGAGATAAATAATGCCGACGAAAAGATAAAGGATGCCGATGAAGAAAAAAAGGATGCCGACGAAGAGATAAAGGATGCCGATGAAGAGATAAAGGATGCGGACGAAGATATAAAGAATGCCGACGAAGAGATAAAGGATGCCGATGAAGAAATAAAGGATGCCGATGAAGAGATAAAGGATGCCGACGAAAAGATAAAGGATGCCGATGAAGAGATAAAGAATGCCGATGAAGAGATAAAGAATGCCGATGAAGAAATAAAGGATGCCGACGAAGAGATAAAGGATGCCGATGAAGAGATAAAGGATGCCGATAAAGAAATAAAAGATGCCGATGAAGAGATAAGGAATGCCGACGATGAGATAAAGATGCCGATGAAGAAATAAAGGATGCCGATGAAGAAATAAAGGATGCCGATGAAGAAATAAAGGGTGCCGATGAAGAGATAAAGGATTCCGACGAAGAGATAAAGGATGCCGACGAAGAGATAAAGGATGCCGATGAAGAAATAAAGGATGCTGATGAAGAGATAAAGGATGCCGATGAAGAAATAAAGGATGCCGATGAAGTAATAAGGAATGCCGACGATGAGATAAAGGATGCCGATGAAGAAATAAAGGATGCCGATGAAGAGGTAAAGAATGCCGACGAAGAGATAAAGGATGCCGATGAAGAAATAAAGGATGCCGATGAAGAGATAAAGGATGCCGATGAAGAGATAAAGAATGCCGACGAAGAGATAAAGGATGCCGATGAAGAAATAAAGGATGCCGACGAAAAGATTAAAGGATGCCGATGAAAGATAAAGGATTCCGATGAAGAGATAAAGGATGCCGACGAAGAGATAAAGGATGCCGACGAAAAGATAAAGGATGCCGATGAAGAAATAAAGGATGCCGATGAAGAGATAAAGGATGCCGATGAAGAGATAAAGAATGCCGACGAAGAGATAAAGGATGCCGATGAAGAAATAAAGGATGCCGACGAAAAGATTAAGGATTCCGACGAAGAGATAAAGGATTCCGATGAAGTAATAAGGAATGCCGACGAAGAGATAAAGGATGCCGATGAAGAAATAAAGGATGCCGATGAAGAGATAAAGAATGCCGACGAAAAGATAAAGGATGCCGATGAAGAAATAAAGGATGCCGACGAAGAGATAAAGGATGCCGACGAAGAGATAAAGGATGCCGACGAAGGGATAAAGGATGCCGATGAAGAAATAAAGGATGCCGACGAAGAGATAAAGGATGCTGATGAAGAAATAAAGGATTCCGATGAAGAAATAAAGGATGCCGATGAAGAGATAAGGAATGCCGACGATGAGATAAAGGATGCCGATGAAGAAATAAAGGATGCCGACGAAGAGATAAAGGATGCCGATGAAGAGATAAAGAATGCCGACGAAGAGATAAAGGATGCCGATGAAGAAATAAAGGATGCCGATGAAGAGATAAGGAATGCCGACGATGAGATAAAGGATGCCGATGAAGAGATAAAGGATGCCGACGAAGATGATAAAAGGATGCCGATGAAGAGATAAAGCTGATGCCGATGAAGAAATAAAGGATGCCGATGAAGAGATAAGGAATGCCGACGATGAGATAAAAGGATGCCGATGAAGAAATAAAGGATGCCGATGAAGAGATAAAGGATGCCGATGAAGAGATAAAGAATGCCGACGAAGAGATAAAGGATGCCGATGAAGAAATAAAGGATGCCGATGAAGAGATAAGGAATGCCGACGATGAGATAAAGGATGCCGATGAAGAAATAAAGGATGCCGATGAAGAAATAAAGGATGCCGACGAAGAGATAAAGGATGCCGATGAAGAAATAAAGGATGCCGACGAAGAGATAAAGGATGCCGACGAAGAAATAAAGGATGCCGATGAAGAGATAAAGGATGCCTTCTACAAATCTCTCGACGCAACCCTGCGAGCAATACCTCGGACAGACAAAATCATGCTCTTTCGAGATTTTAATTCTCGACTGCGCTCCATTCTGGACGGGAGTCATTAGCTCGTAAGGTATTGGGAAAACGAAGGCTAACGGACTCTGTCTTCTAAGCCTTTGTGTCGAGCATCAGCTTGTGATTCCCACTCCCATTTTTCAGCACTCGAACAAATACAAATATTCTTGGATGCATCGACGCTCTCGGACGTGGCACCTGTTGGATTACGTAACCTTCCGTCAACGCGATCGAAAAGATGTCCTTTAAACTCGCGCCAAGCGTGGAACGGACTGCTGGACTCATCATCGTATGATTCGGTCTCGTATGAATCTCTCGCTTCGGTCTTCGGCCCGAAAAACCAAAGCCAACCCTATACTCAATGTTGCCTGTCTAGAACAAGCATCAAAACGAGTCGAGCTTCAAGCAAATTTACTCATTGTCTGTCAATCACTACCAGCACCTCCCACCGATGCTAATGATCAACATGAAATCAACAGTTGATAGAACTCCGTGATCCTAGCTATTCGGCAAGCCGCTGAAACTAAGCTTGGAAAAACTCAGCGAAGGAACCCAGATTGATCGATGAATCCGTGGAAGTTATCCAGCCGCTTTTGAATCAAGCAGACGACGCTCATATTGCACACCCACGCTCTCGTACACTCGTACAAAACTGGTGTCGCTTACGAGCAGATGTACAACGGAAGCTTCGGGAAGCTCAAAACAACTGGTGACTCCGCAAATCTGAAGAAATTCAACGTTTTGCTGACGAAAATAAAACTTACGCGTTTTATTATTCCATTAATCGTATCTTCGGTTCTTTTCGCAATGCCATAGTAGATGTTCGTTCCGCTGATGGCTCTACTCTGCTTAAAAGGAAAAAGAAGAAATCCAAGTACGATGGGCTGAACACTTCAATGAACTTTTAAACAAAGACATGCTGATTGATCCTTCCGCTTTAGATAAACCTCCGAATCTCCCGGGCCTCCCTGAGCTAGACTCTGTTCCGATATCGGATGAAGTTAACAGCGCTATAAAATCCATAAGAAACAAGAAAATCCCCAGGTGATGACGGTTTTCCGGGAGAGGTATACAAGTATGGTGGACTGCACCTTGCATCATATCCGCATTTTGACCTGTGCTGAGCAAGCAGAATGATCCCTAAGCGCTGGAAACATGCGAATATCATAAGCATTTACAAGAAGAAAGGTGATCGCTCCATCTGTGGCAACAGCAGAGGCATTTCCCTCCTATATGTGGCCGGGAAGTTTCTCGCGCGCATTATGCTTCGGTGTCTTCTTTCTGGCTGAGCGAATTCTGCCGGAATCTCAATGTGGCTTCAGACCTGAATGTCGTACCCTCAACATGATACTCGTCGCTCGTCTACTACTAAAAAAAAGCAGGGAACAGAAAAAAGAGATTAATTTTGCATTCGTTGAGTTAAATAAGGCATTTCTTACGGTCAATCGGGAGGCTCTATGACTTTTGCTAGGCAAATTTGGCTGTCCGCAGAGATTTCTGAGTCTTCTACGCCAATTTCATGAGCGTATATCGCTGAAGTATCCGTCGGGGAATTCCCATCAGAACAGTTGAGTGTGCATACGGGAGTCAAACAGGGCTATGTTCTTGCTTCCGTGCTATTTAACATCAATCTGGTTGCTAAGACTCTTCTTTCCCGGTTACATATAAAACCCAACAACGGAATATGTATCCGACATCACTTTGACGGAAGCGTCTTCAATGCCCGACGTCTCAAAGTTAATACTCTGACCTCTATTATTCCTGTCTATGAACTGCAATATGCCGATGATTCTCCCATAATTTCTCACTGATTTCCCTGACTTCATTGCATAAGGCTTAATCTCGCCTTGGTCTTGATATCAACCCAAATAAAACAGAGATCATTCAAACAGCGTTTATATGACGTAATCCGGAAGCTCGTTTACACACTGACAACGTTTCGTTGTCTAATGTGAACTTCTTCATCTACGTCGGCAGCGTTATATCCGATAATGGAGACACTGATGAAGACATTCTCCGGCGGATAAATCTTACTTCCGCTTCCTTTGAACGTCTCCGTTAACACGTCTTCGCTAATAGCAACCTTCGACTCAGCACCAAAATTGTTTCAACAGTGCTCTACAGCTGTGAATACTGGACTCTGTATCGCCGACAAATAAAACTGCTTGAGACATTCTACATCCGTTGCCTTCTGCGAATATTGTACATTACACGGAGGGATAAAATCCCCCACACCGAGGTTCTTCAACGTGCGGAAGTCGTCAGTATTGAGGCCAGTGACTTCTACGTTGAGTTGCGCATGTGCGGATGTCGGGCAGTCGCCTCCCAAAAACTGTATTCTACGGAGAGACCAAGACCGGCAGCCGCCCACCTGAGGGCCAAAAGAAACGGTTTCCTGACTACCTTAAGCGTGTTCATGTCTCCTGCAATATTGATCCAACACAATTAGAGAACCTTGCAGGCGTTAGGGTTAGCTGACGGCTCTCTGCGTCACTGCAGTGACGCACTTCGAGGAGGAGAGACTAGGAGCGCTCGAGAGGAGGCGACGCCTGCGTCATCTGCATACTGTCAATTCCGCACAGGGCAGGTTTCTCTGCCACCTGCGCCCGAGAGCTTCTCGTTCGCGGATCGGGCGGCTGTCTCATTTGGCAGCCCACAGAAGACGGACGGAGATGAATGAACAACATCGTTGTCAGCAATGACGGACAGCTTAAGAGGCCGTTAAATTTCACTGCACCGAGAAATGGCCTTCAAGCCCGCTCGACACACACCCGGGGGAAACTCGACTGATTCCGGGGTTTACAACAGTGCCCACCCCTAGAAATGGGAAATGTTAAGATAAGGGAACGGCATTCTTAATACTCCTCTCCAAAATCGAGTCCTCTGTCGATATGTGGCGAAGAAAAGCCAAGCTCGAGACGTGTTGGTGACTCATCAAGTGTGGCACTCTCAGGCCCCTATGACACGCATATTGGGCACAGACATCTCTGTTGACATAATGCTTGCGACCATCCAGCGAGTGGGAGGAGAGAAAACTTTCGATCGCCTTCTTACATAGATGAAGTTCAGACAACGGGTAAAGGATGAGAGACGTAAGTGGCACACGCCTCAGTCCTACACTTCAAGACACACAGAATTTAGATTTTCAATTCTGGGGTTCCCACCTGGACTATTCGAATTTCGGGGAAGGCGTCTTTTACCTCGGAAAGGTGATTCCATACTTTTAAATCTTACCCCGTATCCCTTATCCATATTATTACACCCAGGGCCTTAAGGAAATTACGGGGGTCACCACCGACTTTCCATCGACAGTGGATGTGTAAATAACGGACCCCAGGGATTTTTATGAATGGAAAATTCCTTTTCCAGTTCTCGCCTGTCTATCTGACAGTCCTTTTTCCTCTCTGAGAAATGTTTCTTTCTTTTTTTTCTTTCGAAGGGTTGAAATAGGTGGATGCGTTGGTGGAGACGGAGCCTAAAAAGGGGAAGGAGGAAGCCTTATTAATTTTGGGGTGGTATCTTCAATTTTTGCTCGCGAATTGGGATTTGGTTTTGTCCATGTTCTTCTCCGTGCAACGCCTTTTCTTTCCTGGTATTATTTTTTCTCCTCTTCTTCTTCACTTCCCCTCTCCAAAGGGGCGGACCGTGGTGGAGGCATTTCCACCGCCTTCTTATCAGAGTCCTTACGTAACTGTTGTTTTGCTGTTGTTGTTTTTCTTGTTGTTGCTGCGTTTGTTGCAGCTGTTGCTTCTATTGCTGTTGCCGTTGCTCTCTTCTTCTTGCTGTTTTTTGTTGTTGTTGTTTTTTTCTGTTGCTGCGTTTGTTGTTGCTGTCTTGCTGTTGACATTGTTTTTGTTCTTGTTATTGCAAAAGTTTCTGTTGCTGTTGTTGCCCTTTTTTTGCTTTTCCACCTGATGCTGTAGCTGATGCTGTTTCTCTTGATCTGGTCGCTCTTGGGGTAGTTGTGGGACGTCCTGCTGGGGAGGGGGAGGGGGAGTGTGAGGGGGAGGGCTTGCCGTCTTCAGTCCTCTCCTCATCACTTTCTTCCAAACACTAGGACTATCGGAGGCCTTGCATCACTCTTCCACTGCTTCCGCCATTGATGTTATGGCTCCATGTTCTTCTCAAGGCACCATACGACCAGCAGTAGGGCCGACAGCCTTCCACCATCACAAGCATCCCTTTTTCCCGGCACATGAAAATGTTGGATATTTCTGCGAAGCTCTTACGGGTCATTGTTACATGGAGAACAGTGTCCCGAGTAGTAATGCCCGCTTTACTTATAACTGCCGACATGTCCTCAACTTGTCCATATCGGTCAAAAAGGTCCCCACCCTGACTTCGGTAATATCCACGGGCAGCCTATTGACGATTACTCTTGTATTTCTGGTGCCCATGTAGTCAGTCTGTAAAGGAATGATTTTGCTATTAAAATGCTTCTGGTCAACTGTTTGACCTCTTGCTTACTAGCCAGCTAGCTGCCCCACAAAGTGTTTGATCTTCTGGCCAGTATTTTAGTTCCATTGTTTCCCTACTGACCCCCATCAATTTCCGAGTTTTACATCGGTCATCAGCAGAGAGATTGTTTCTTCTAGGTCTTCTTGAATAGGGTTAAACTCATTCAATCTTATGTATTCCTCATACTTATCTTGAAGTTGTGCATAATAATTGGCATCCTTTTTTAGGTCTATCTTCAGTCCACGCCGTTTTTTAGGAGGTGCAGTTTGTTCCACCTGCACCGGCGGTGTCTGGGGAAACTCCACTATGGCGGTCGGATCTCCACGAAAATAACTAAAAAGTTCGTCACAAAATCACAAGAATTTGTTGAACGAACAAACCAAAAACCAACAATAAAAATTAAAATTAAAAAAATGAGAAGGAGGAGGGCGCGTATAAAACCAAAAACAAATACAGTAAACTAAAAGAAAACAAAAAATTAACCAAACTCAAATGAAAAGTAGCTTCTAAACTAGACTAGGTTTCAAAAACAAATACGAAAAGAAAAACAAAAGTGAAAAAGAAAATTCAAAAATATCTAAAACTCAAC